ACCCGTGATGAACTTTAAAATTACCCATGTGATCCAAATACAAAAAAAAACTAGTTGGTTTTTCATGATGACACTAAGAAACTATCAAGCAACACACCAGAACATGAAACAAGAGTAGAATTTTCACAGGTTATCTTTTATTAATAATGTGAATTCATACGTTACACCAATTAGGTGCCTGTCATTCATCTTTCTGGGTCAGAAAGGTATAAAGGGAAATGGTTGCTAACAAGGCCTAGGGGTCTTGTGGCTTTCTTATTAGGGCTTTTTTAAAAAATCACAGATGTTTTTTTCTCAGAAGAAAAGGAAATGCCTCGCTGGCCAAGCTCCATTGGGTCCAGCATTTAGTTCCTAACAGCAGCCATACACTGAGAAATACAGAGGAAATGAAATGTACAATGAAAGCTCACAAATAAAACCATTTGTTTCAGCAAACTTTTAACTGAGAATTTTAAATACAACCTTACCTTTGAAAACATAGGAAGAAAAATAATTAATACAGGAGCATTAGAACAGTTACAGTAATAGTGGAAGGCTGATACAAAATTACAAAAACACTGATTTTTTTTTTAAAAAAATTGAAAATTCTTCCCCTGAAATAATCTTGATATTTGAAAAATATACCTACAACCTAACCCCAAGATGTCAAATAGAACTTGCATAAGATTGATTTAGGAAATCTGAATTGGTAAAGATTTTCCTCACATACAAAGAAATGCAATGCATATAAAACCTTTTTTAAAAGTAGTCAAGAGAAATGTTATCAAAAGATCCAAAACACTCATTTATGTACGCTTGATCAGGGAGGAGGATATAAATGCAGTTTGCTCAGCATAACCTCAGTCCTCCCCAATGCCATCTTAGCTGCCCACTGCAAAGAAAGGGAAGGAGCACTGGCTCTGACTCTTCCCCAAACAAAGACCTCAGGAGGTGGAACAACTTTCTTTCCATTACCTTTTCCTACAAGGAGGAGAATGGTAATGTCCAACTTGGAAGAGGAATGAAAGGAAGAGCAAAAAGAATGTATTGGGGAGAACGGATTGTGCTGAGCAAATTGTATATACTCTAAAAGCAGCAGCACCATGAATTTTGTGTGTGTGGGCATATATAAATAAAAGCCATTTGTATCTGGATGGTCCAGGAAAATTCTTAATATGGTGTAGAGAAGGAATGGGGTTTTAGGCTGTATTGTACACAAGAAAAAGGCGTTGGCTGGTCCTAAGCAGAATATACTCTTTACCTTGTTCTCAAGATCTGCTCTCATTGCTTACAACCCACTTTCTAACTACGCACATACCAAGTTCAAATTCTAGATAAGATTTATCTGGTGAAATGATCTATAGAGTCCACAAAAAAACTCACACAAAAGGTTGGTTGCTGTGAGTTTTTTTTGGGGTGTATGGCCATGTTCCAGCAGGATTCTGCTAATACACGGCCATACAGCCTGAAAAACATGAGCCACAGTGGCGCAATGGGTTAAATTCTTGTGCTGGCTGAACACAACAGTATGTTAGCTTACAGTATGTTAGCTTCTGAGCCGATTTTTAAAAAGCCCCAAAAACTCACAGCAACCTAGTGATTCCAGCCATTAAAGACATCGACAATACAACCCACACAATAATTCGTTAGGATTATGATCATGCAAACTCTCCCTTTCAGGCTTAAGCCAATGGACATCGCATACAATGAGGCATGTAAACAAGCTTTCAGAGGGATCCAAATGACAAGGCTGTGCCAAAAGGCAATATGCACCACAGTGGCTGTTGGGATATGCCTCACAGGCTTTAATGTGGCCTAGTTTCTTTCTAGGTTCTCTTCTCCCCCAACCAACCTAGATTGATCAGGATAATGACTGGTGCCTAAGGCTGAAGTATGGGGGGCTAATGGGAAAAGGCCTCAAGGGGCAACAGGGATGAAGGGAACCATGCACGGGAGAAATGGGCTGCCCAGAAGTGGAAGATTTTACTTGCCTTTTCTCGCCAGAGCTGGATAACACTGGGAAATGGCAACTAACAGCATGGGGTTCCAGCCATTGCATCTGCCGCATTCAGTGGTGAAACGGCTAAGTAACCGCAGTAACAATACAAGGACTCCAGGGTTACAGGAATGTATCTGTGGATTATATCAAATCTTGCTTGCTTTTCAAGACTGCAACTACCATGGAGATAAACTATGGTAAATACATTTGTTTTAAGATCAGAAGGCCAAACGAGTATCCATATCTGTTTTTTAAAAAAGCTATTATAACACACAGAACACAAAACAATAGGAAGGAAGACCTTCCTGCAACTCAGAGACTGATTCCTCTATGAGCCTGAGACAAATATCAGGAATACATCCTTTTTTTAAATGTGCTGCATCTTCCTTCTCTGTTTACTACACTGACATACAGTCCTGCTTTGGACAGATTACTGTATTGCTAAAGTTCTCTACATCCAAAATGCACATTCATTTTTTTTATTTTTAACAGAATACACTTGTGCACATTTTAATTAAATTGGGGAGGCAAGGCTGAGGCAGTGCCCTTGTGATCACCAAAAAGAGCCAACCAGCCATCACTTTACATAGCCAAATGATTGTCACAAGGCCAGCCAATCTGTATCCTGTCATTTCCTTTTCCTAGAGACGGGCAGATTCAAACGCACCTGTTGACTTTTGATATGTTTACAATGTAAACTTTACCCTACATGAAGCAACTATAGATGCAAAGCAGGCTCACGATTCACCTTATACACATCTGGATAAAGTTTGAGTTTAGTGGAATTTGCCAGTCTATAAAAAGAGAAGAAAATGCAGCAGCTAAAACTGAACACGTACCCCCTGATTAAAATGGAAAAAACAAAATTGCACATATCTGGTGAAGAAATTCTAAGTTGCCTACTTCGTGTTACAAAAAGTGTGATCCATTCAAAAGGTACCGTTAACAGAAACTGTTTCCTCATTAAACATATTGATCAGTTGTCTAGCATACAACATAAATATATATATATCCATAACTTAAAAATATTTAATGAAATATACAAATAAATTAGTTTAAAATAATTTGGCTAAACAAAATAAAATTTTGCACAAACTTCCTTGCAGTGACAATTCATGTGATACTGATGATACGTCTGCACACGTCAGGTTGTTACCACTGCCAAATTGTCCAAAAAAACCAACAATCTTTGGAGTATAAATGATAAAGATGAAAGAAGCTCGCACTGCACAGACTCACAGGACTTTGGCCAAAACCAACTCCACAGCTGGAACAGTGTTGGCCAATTCTGGGAGGCAGGTAGAGGGACAGGGGTCAACACCCCCATTATTAACTGTCATGTTGTCAAAATAGGAGAACAAATTTGCACTTCCAAATTTCAGCAGCAAACTGCATAATGGCCTTAAAAAAGCAGGAAATGCTGGCTTTAAAAGAGTTTTGTGTGTGTGGTTTACTGGCAAAACTTATGGGAGAGCTTTGTGGAGGATCTTGAGACATATGCTGTCCATCTTTTCCCTATACTATGCATCTAATTTGCTGTATGTAGCTACCGTATATACCGGCATATAAGACGACTGGGCGTATAAGACGACCCCCAACTTTTCCAGTTAAAATATAGAGTTAAGACGACTCCCATGCATAAGACTACACCCGCGTATAAGACGACCCCTGACTTTTGAGAAGATTTTCTTGGGTTAAAAAGTAGTCTTATACGCCAGAATATACTGTATTTAATTTTTGTGCTGCCATATCCTGTCATGGGCTGCTCCATTTATTATACAAGTAGAGGCGGCTCCCTTTCCAAACACAGAGCACAACCTTCATCATTTTTAACATGAAAGGAAGAGTAAATAGTGATTGAAGTCTGCAAGTTGGTCAGTAGGCACTTCTGGACAAAGATGCAAGTTGCCATTCTGGTCAGATAACAGGAATCTCAAGCTTGGTGACCAAAATGAAGCTTGCTCTTCAGAAAGGAGCAATGGGACCTGGTGTGCGTAATGATAGCCTGACATATTCAGCTTTTTCACAAACAGAGCATTATGACTCCACTTTTATGTGCCATGGTTTAATCCCATGGAGCCCTGGGGTTTGTAATTGTTCAGAGGCACCAAAAGAGCTCTTTAGCTGCAAATTCAAAATGTCCCTGCCAAATTCCAGGATTCCACTGGTTGTTGCCATGGTGGTTAAAGTGTAATTGTATTGCTATAGTTCTGTAATAAATATGAAAGAACCCCAGAACAACAACAACAACAACAAAAGACCAGCTTGCAAGAGAATAGACACATTATTGGCACACTCTGGTTTCTCTATACATTCTCTCTCTAGGTAGTAAATCTATACAGCTATGGATAAAGCAAAAGCATTCATCCCAAAAAGAGCAACAAACTGATGCCCTTTGTCTGTACTTCAAACTCCCTACTAACAGCTTGCTCGTTCCACCTTAACAGGGCATCTCCACCTGCTTACTGAGAGCCCACACGTCTCATTTACTGGGTTTGTAGAACACAGAAAATGATAGGAAAGGTATCATGCACAAGAGAAGGAGTTGACTGACAAATGGTGTTGGACTCTCAAACTATTACTAGAGGAGGAGGAGGAAAATAAAAGAAAAACAGAAGAATTTGCTACTGCTTTTAGTACCATCTCCCCTACCCGCTGCTTTAATACTGGAGTTGTTACCTTCTCTGGAAAGTCCCTGATGTAGCTTATTGTTCTCTCTGCTGGGATGGAAAAATGAGAAAATGACTGATGCCCAAGACATTGTGTCACCTGTGAACAGCGGAGCCCCAAGTGGTTAAACCCTTGTGCTGGCAGGACTGCTGACCTAAATGTCAGCAGTTCAAATCCAGGGAGGAGTGTGAGTTCCCATCTGTCATCTCCAGCTTCTAATGCAGAGACATGAGAGAAGCCTCCCACAGGATGGTAATACATCTGGGCGGCCCCTGGGCAACATCCTTGCAGACGGCCAATTCTCTCAAACCAGAAGCAACATGCAGTTTCTCAAGTCGCTCCTGACATGAAAAAAAAAACAACAACTCGTGAACAGCAATGTCACCCATTCTCACTTTCCAGTTATTGGTTGCTTTAAAAATGCAGCCTTTGTGGGCCTATCTAACTCACCCCTGTAAAAACTGCTTGCTTTTGCATGTGACCTAGAAGGGCACAGAAGAAATTATTACAATGGTGGTAGAGTGTGAGACTGGACTTCCATCTTCAATATAAGCTGGAGTCCTTGGTGCTGGAGGACTATGCCGATCTTGCTTGTTGTCTCAACCTCCCCAGAGTGGTAGGCCAAAGGCCTAAGGATTCTCCCTGAACTGAGCAGTGGACAAATCCCATATCCTAACCTGAGATCTGTCAATCCCCAGAGAGATGGCAAGGCCCCTTCCTCTGCCAACATCCAGGCCTTCTTAATATTTGTGTGTAACCAAGACAGAAAGGATGGGACAACAGCCCTGCAAACTCAGCTTCCCTATCCTGGCTCTATCTGAAGTCAGGAAAGAAAGTTGAGAAAGACCAACTTGGAGCCTTCTCTCAGAATGGACCTAATGTTCAGGGCAGGATGACTCTTTTTTGCATCTGATGCCAGAAGTGTGATGATACTGGAGCAGCCCATGCACCGGGACCTCTGTGTTTTCATCAGGTCACATAAAAATTGGTAGTGTTAAAAGACAACAATTTAAAATTACGTCCCATGTTTCTTTGGGAGGTGCAGAAGGAGGGTGAACATTTATACAACCTGTTTCAAACAGTCAAAGCACTTCATAAACATTATCGCAGTAATCCTTACAATAACCCTGCAAAATAGGCCGGTATTATATTCTTTTTTCCCCCATATTGCAGATCGGAAATTGAATCTAAGACACTGTGCCTTGCCTGTGACCACCCAGTGAGTACTCTAAGGAATTTCAACTGGAGACTTCCTGGTTCATAGCTCATTCATGGTCCCTATGATACAGCAGGAAAAAGTTCATTATTTTTCTTATACAAATTAGAAAATAACCATAAATAAACAGATACATATCATTTCAACAGAGATCACTAAAGGTAACAGTTGTATAGGTGTCATAATAATAGAACATTTTGATCTGTTCCAGAAATTCATTGCTGGTTGAAAGAACTTTGCCGCTTAGCAGTGAAAGTAGTTCTCTCAGAAATGTAGAAGGATAGGAAACATCAATAATGACATCTTTTTCTTGGAGAGTTTTGAAATGTATCAATGCTTAAATTGGTCCTTGGGTTATTTAATATTTTCTTTCCACAGATCCCTCTCAAAAAGACAGATGTCACAGATGGGGATTTTAAGGGGGAAGTCACAAATGTGTGCTCTTTTTCTGTGTAGTTACTTCTGAAGTCATATCTGTTGCTATTGAGCATTCAAAAACAATTTAAAAATGAGAATAAATAAATAAAAATATCTTTAAAAACAATAGTTCAACACAATGGCAGTCCTTTATATTTGCAACTGGAATGATTCTTCTGATAGTACCGAGGCTGCTTCCCAGATGCATTTTGTCATCCTCTAGTTGCTGATCGCTGTGAAAAACAGAAGGTGTGCAACCTCAGCAATGGCCACAGCTTTCCATTCTTCTCCCATATAGAACTCATAAAGACTTACTGAATGTCACAAAATGTTCACTCCCCACGTTTTTCCAGCAACTTCTATAGGGAGTCAACCTTTGTTTTCAAATCAAACTATTAAAGCTATCTAAAACTATTTCAAATGTGTATTGAAACATGCCAATCTCCATCTAACACGGTTGCTAGTGCTAGTTTTACTTGATCCAGCTACGTAATCATTTCAAATGTTCCTTTTATTCTTCAATACAGGCAATCCCCAAGTTACGAACAAGATAAGTTCTTCAGTTGAATTTGTTTGTAAATTGGAACAGGTGCATTTTTTAAGTGCAACCGCAGCCAAAAATATGTCTATTTTAGCTTTGGATAGCATAGGGAAAGGTTACCACCCCCTGCGGTGTTTGTTTTGCACTCTGTGCCCTTGTTCAGAAGATTTCACCTCACTTTCTGTCCCTGTGAGAATTGGATTTTGAAAACTGTGGCTTGTTGTGGAAACTAAGATTGGTTGGAAAGCTTCAGCAGAGACCCCTTTTCTCCATGATAACTCTTCTAGGAGTGAATTTCCCTTCCAAGGGGTAGATTTCTCTCACTTCCTGTTGTCTCACCCATGTTCTTAACTATGAGTCATTTGTAAGTCGGATGTTTGTAACTCAGGGACTGCCTGTATTCCAAATCGAATGTCACTCTTAAAAATATGACACATTCAAGGCAATCTTCCTCTTGGCTGTACTAGACTTATTGGCCATTAACTGAATGAGATTGACAAACTCTTTATACCACTGTGCGGAAACCCTTTCTCAGTCCATCTTGAGTCATACCAAACAGGACTTTACAGCAGGATGTTTTACATCTCTATGTTCCATTTTTCAGCTCCCACTCCTAGAACAAGGGAGGAAAGCAACATAAACAAGATTTGTCACAAGAGATTTAAATACATGCCTACGTCTTTTAAACACATGCACACTGCAACTTTCAGGAAGTCACCACAATCCATCAGGAAAAGGGGATACACTTTCATTTCTGGGGATTAGAAGCAGCAGTCTGAATGCAGACACACAGTTAGTATGAACATGAAATTAATTCACAAGAAAGAAAGGCATGATGCAGTTTTTGACTTACCAGTTGGCTTAAAATAAAAGAAATGAGACAATTTCACAGAGAATGTTTAGAGTCTGTGAAACTTATTAACTTCACAACTTAATTGTATTAGACTTGACAATAATATAATTTCAATAAGTGTTTGGTCACAATCAAAACCAGAACAGTATGTGGAGATTGTGTGCATTGGGATTTATTTATTTATTTACTTACTTACTATATTTATACCCTGCCCTTCTCAACTCAAGGTGGCTTTACACATAGGCAACTATTCAATGTCATAAAACAATGTACAATTAAAGTAAACATTTTAAGATAGAATTAAAACACATTAAAACATATAAACACATCACATTCACTCTTAAACATGCTACCCACAATCGTAACCTGGGCCATTCAAGTGCTCATTGCACATAATTCCATATCCATTTATTGCACTACAATTGTTCTCCAAAGGCTTGATCCCAAAGCCAAGGTTTCAGTCTTTTTCAGAAGGTCAGGAGGGAGGGGGCTGATCTATTATCCCTGGGGAGGGAATTCCACAGCCAAGGGGCCACCACTGAAAAGGCCCTGTCTCTCATCCTCGCCAGTCATACCTGCGAAGGAGGCAGGACCGAGAGCAGGGCCTCCCCAGATGATCTTCAATTCCAAAATGGTTCATTGGGGGGGACGACATGTTAGGAAAGGTAAGTTGGGTCGTAACCATTTAGGGCTTTATAGGCTAAAGCCAGTACTTTGAATTGTGCTCAGCAGCAGACTGGCAGCCAGTGGAGGTAACAAAACAATGGAGTTGTGTGCTCTCTATATGCCACTCTGGTGCCGCCCATTGGACCATTTGAAGCTTCTGAATAGTCTTCAAAGGCAACTCCATGTAGAGCGTGTTGCAGTAGTCTATTTGGGATGTAACCAGAGCGTGGACTACCAGGATGGGGCCTCTGTACCCAAGAATTCAACCATCTGCAGACTAATATAGCAATATACAATATACAAGCAGTCCCCAAGTTACAAACAAGATAGGTTCTGTAGGTTTGTTCTTAAGTTGAACTTGTATATAAGTCAGAACAGGTAAATTTTTAAGTGTAACACCAGCTGCACACACACACACACACACATGAATGATTTGGATAGCATAGGGAAGGATTAGCTTTCCTATGGTGTTTGATATCCTGTATTCCTCGTATTCAGAAGATTTCACCTCATTTTCCGACCCTGTGATAATGGGATTTTGAAAAAAAAAAGGCTTGTTGTGGAAACAAGGATTGGTGACCTTTTCCCCATGTTAACTCTTTCAGGAGTGGGTTTCCCTTCGGAGGGGTAGATTTCTTTCAATTCCTGTTGTCTCATCCCCGTTCTTAACTACGAGTCATTTGTTAGTCAGATGTTTGTAACTCAAGGACTGCCTGTATAGCAGACCTTGTCTTTCCCATTTGATATAAGGGACATCGTTTTACTATACCTTTGTATGTCTTGGGATTTGAGCATCCATGGGTTGTTGGTATCCACTGTGGGTCCTGGAACCAAACCTCAGTAGATACTGAGGGCCACTGCATTTTACTTAAGGGATTTGATTTTTTGTAGGCATGTTGTGGAACAGTTGCTCCTCTGTATCCACAGATTTAATCATTTGATTTTTTTTAAAAAATTGTAGATCTATTTTATACACCTGGGATTACATAAAATTTCTTGGACAAAAAAGGTTCGCAAGTTGAAAAAGTTTTAAAAAGCACTGTGCCAGACCACCCCTTGTTTTCTTCTGTGAAGGGCGGATGGTCTGAAACATTAATGTGAAAAGCTTTCCCATCTATCAAAATGTTTTCATGCCTATTTCTATGCCAGTTTCCATTTTCTACCAAGGGGCAACTCATCTAGAAGAAAAGCCAGAGAACAGCCAGCTCATCTTTCACGGGAAGAAGACAAAGGCATACAGGCACGGTAGAAAAGCATGCAATACGGATTGTAGACTTACTTTTGCTTTCTGAAGGACATGGCCTCTACATGGGGAACTGCTCGACGAGGAATGTCTTTTCATGACAACAGCACTGTTCACAGGCACAGAAGTTTCAGTATCACTTGTATCACAGCTGGAAATGGGTGAATTCTCCAGGGTCTGATGCTTTAGAACGGGAGACTAAATGGAAATACAAACCTACAGCTTGAAATCATAGCAGCTTTCAGAAGAGCGTGCAAAAGTGAGGACTCTGTCATGCACAAACCCTCTTGTAAAATAAACATTAACTTCTTTTCCTGAAGAAGGTTTGCTCAATAGCACCTCAATGAATAATAGGAAGAAGACGGGCTACTGATAGTCAGCCCACTTGTGCTGGCAAATAATATCCTCATTCTGATTGTTTTCCTAGAATTGTATATTTTGAAAAAGTAGTACACTTATAAGACTTCACAGATATCATAATTCTTGTCACATGAAATTGACTTATTTCATTAGCAGCGTAATACTCCACATTAATCAGTATAAGGAAAACATCCTGGTTACAGAGCACATCAGTTTCAACTGGTGTAGCCAAATGAAATTGCCTAGTAAAGTGCCTTTTCTTTTTCCAGACCAGAAGCAGCATTTTAAGAGGCCGTACCTGTGCAGTTGAACTTCCTGATTTGGGTTCAATTGCCAGTCCCAGCGTGATGCCACCAGCCAATGCTTTCTTCAGGTTCTCTTTCACCTCTGTCAACTCCAGTTCTAGACTAACACGTTCAGACTCTTTCAACTTGCACTCTTCTTCCAGCTTCTTTAATTTATCTTCAAGGATAATGAGAGGTTTCCTTCCTGAAATCCAGAGATAACATAGGTGAGTCAGGGAGGGAGGGGGATACTACAATTGGCAGAATTCATCACTGGTAACTTCAGAATAGAGATATCAGAGGAAAGCAAGTAAAATAAGTAATTCAACTGTATTTGTGGTTAGATTGTGACTTAACTCTCTTCTGTTGCTGCTGGAAGTGTTCTTCCTGGGATTCTGATAATATACTAAACAGTAAAATTAAATGATCAACATACCGGCATTTGCTTCAAGTGCTGCCCGAAGGTCCTTCCTTTCTTTTCGAAGCTGAGCCAGGCGATTTCTCAGAGCTTCTTTTTTCTTTAACAGCTCGTCCTCTTTGGTCTGTAACTTCTTTGCATCAGCTTCAACTCGGTTCTTGCCATATCTGTACTGGTCTGCATCTGCACACAAAAGTTATTGGATATTTGAGTCTAGAAGGAAAAATTCGGCAATATCTCAGCATCCTAGCAACAACATATATATTGGTGGCCATTTCCCAAGGGTATTCAACTCCTTACTCATATGACTCCTTATCTCTGAATCTAATTCAGAAATCTCTACTTGAATGATATATATTCAACCCATTACTCTAATTCCAGAAGTGGTCCAAGTGTGTAAAGACCCCTGCCAAAGAAAATCAGTTTCTTAGTATGTTTACAAAAGGAGAAGTAATGATATCCACCATGTTAGGGGAACTCTTGGCTGTTATCTGGAAGCCAACAAGAAACTGATATCATGAGATTTAGATATCTGAAGTGAAGTCGGAGTAGTTGTACAGCCAGTAGCATCCACACCAGCAAAGCTGCACATAAAAAACCAGAAAGCTTCCAAGGGTAATCAAGAGAGATAAATGATATTTACCGTATATTCCGGCATATAAGACGACTGGGCGTATAGGACGACCCCCAATTTTTCCAGTTAAAATATAGAGTTAAGACGACTCCCATGCATAAGACTACACCCGCGTATAAGATGACCCCTGAGTTTTGAGAAGATTTTCTTGGGTTAAAAAGTAGTCTTATACGCCAGAATATACTGTACTTAGAAAGAAAAAGAGTTTCAGTGATTTTTATAACTGTCCCTCCATCGCATGCCATCTTCCACACAATGTGACTATTTCATAGATTCATAGATCCATAGAATCCTAGAGTTGGAAGAGACGTCATGGCCATCCAGTCCAATCCCCTGCCAAGAAGCAGGAAAAACGCATTCAAAGCCCCTCTGACAGATGGCCATCCAGCCTCTGCTTAAAAGCCTACAAAAAAGGACCCTCCACCACACTCCAGGGCTGAGTTCCACTGCTGAACAGCTCTCACAATCAGGAAGTTCTTCCTCATGTTCAGGTGGAAACCCCTTTCCTGTAGTTTGAAGCCACTGTTCCGTGTCCTAGTTTCCAAGGCAGCAGAAAAGCCTGCTTCCTCCTCCCTATTACTTCCCTTCACATATTTATACATGGCCATCATGTCTCCTCTCAGCCTTCTCTTCTTCAAGCTAAACATGCCCAGCTCTTTAAGCAGCTCCTCATAGGGCTTGTTCTCCAGACCCTTAATCATATTTGTCACCCTCTTCTGGACACATTCCAGCTTGTCAACATCTCCAATTGCAATGCTTGGAATTGGACACAGTATTCTGGGAGTTGGAGGCTCAAACATCTGGAGGGCCACAAGTTTAACCCCTCTATTGTAGGCTGATTTCTAAGGATAAGACATTTCCCAAGACAAGAGATGAATAGGGAACACTCACTGGAGGTGCTGCGTTTCACATTTGAAGAAAATTCCGATTTCTTCTGTGGGTTGGTTAATGTTCTTCCTTTTCCCACAACTCCATTTGTAGCTGTGGAAGCTTTCTTTCCTTTAAACTGTTAGGAAATTCAAATATTTATTTAGTGATTTAGTGGATGGATGACACGGTTCACACTTCCTCTAGATTTAAAGAACTAAATTATCAAACTGAAAGCAGATTACAAATTCAAAACTAGTTCCATTGAAACTGTGCACATTAAGCAGCAGATAAAGGAAAAGCATCTACAATTGCTATTAGGAAGCACAGAAAGGCAAGACCAAGCATTTCTTAAGGCACAGAATGTAGGTAAGTGTTCAAAACTTCAAATACTGTTTCGAAATTAGCTACAGTATTCTGTAAGTGTGAGACAAAAATAATTGCAATAGATGCATAAGTTCAGAAGCAATTGAGTTATATAAGGGTAAGCAATAGGTTTAGCCACATAATATGAAATCAAGAACTTTGATCATTCTTCAACCTCTAAAATGTCCAATAAAAACTGTTAGTAGGTTTTGTGAATCAATAACAGAATTCCAGAACAGAATTTGGAGCTCTGTTCTCTAGCTTCATAAGTAACTACTTAGGCCTGACCGTTTCAAAAGTTCTCACTCTTCCACACAGTAACTTCTGTCCTTTCCTTATTGAATAACAGTTGAAAATCTGAAATCATTGGGAATGTGAAACCCATATTTTTAAAATAAGTATGAAGTAAGAGAAAAAGCTACATGTGGTTGCAGAAGCATGTGAATGTTATGGAAACATGATGAAATAGGTCAAAAGACCATCCAGTGTGCCAAATGTATGGGTTTTAGGTATAATTACAAAAGCGTCAAAAGAGTAGATTGTCAAAAATCGTGGGACGCTTGTTTAAGGAACTTAAAAGGCAATATCTTATTCATTAACAGGTTAAGCAATCCATTTCACAGGTACTTCTTTGTAAATATTATATATAATACCCTTTCAAAGCAATGCGCATTATGGAATAAACACCAGAAAAGTGATTCCACTAACATCCTAGTGTTCATTTTCAACTTCCCAAGGTCTTCTCAGGTTCAACAAAAAACAATATTAGACTAAATCTCAAAATGCCTGAAAATATGTATTTATCATTAATGTTCATAATGTATTTCAGCTCAATCTGTAGGAGTGAACTCAATTCCAATGCATCTACAGAAAAAAAATACAAGTCATCCCAGAGTTACAAACACCCAACTTGCAAATGATTCACAGCTAAGAACAGGGTGAGACAACGGAAAGTGAGAGAAATCTACCCCTCGGAAGGGAAATTCACTCCTGAAAGTTATCATGGGAAAAAAGTGTCTCAGCTGAAGCTTTATCACCAAATCCTTGTTTCCACAACAGGCCACATTTTTCAAAATTCAATTATCACAGGCACAGAAAGTGAGGTGAAATCCTCTGAACAGGGGCACAGGCAGAAAAAGAAACACTGCAGGGGTGTTAACATTTCCCTATGCTACCGTGTGTGTGTGTGTGTGTGTGTGTGTGTGTGTGTGTGGCTGGAGTCACACTTAAATCTTGTTCGTAATACAGAATTAGGTGTAGTTGTAATTATAGTAAAACATCTGCTGAGATCTACATGGACCATACACAGATCTTACAGCAATTTGTATTTAACTGCCAGTGTTCTATCTTTTATAATTAGCAGTCTTGAGTCCTCCTCAGGGTAAGGTAGAGCAGAGAAGAAATATACTAAATAGTAAATAAATAAATTAGATACAGTTAATTGTATTTAATGTCACTGAGTTTTATGTGGCCTTTAAACATGTTGAATGCACAAATAATGATTTGGCATTTTGAGATCTGATCCATTTTTCCTCCTTCTTGACACAACTCCTTTGGACAAATTCAGATGAACATCTAAACTAAGCTACCAGAAAAGGTGTTTTTTTTAAGAACTGCACTGCCAGATGGTAAAGTGGCAGTTCACCCCATGTTCTAAATGGGTTTCAGCAGATTGAAAGCTGTGACTTTGCAACTTGGCTGTAAGGTTTTAGGGTAGTCAAGAAAACAACTGCTGTGTTGACATTCTGCCTCAATTACTTGTGGGAGATTTACAATCTCGCTTGCACTTATGGTGCCTGAGGGTAAAGGAAATGTCCGACAGGATAACATCCCAACAGGACTTTGGAAAGAATAAACTGTATTCAAATGGAGCACATATACAGATTCAAAAGGAGAAGCTGTATTCAGAAAGACAGGTTTTAGAATTAAAGGATACCTCCTGCACAACAAGAGAAGGAAGAGGATCCATCAGCAAAAGCTTCTAATGTAGCCTCAGAATTGTAAACTTATGCTGAGTCCACTCTACTTTGAAACAGACTGTGTAATTTCTGCTACTGGTACAGACCTACTCTAGAGTTGCAAGACTTCACATCCCCATGAATAATTTCTTATGACCTCATCACACTAGATAATGAATCCACTTTAAATCCGATTCTTGCTTCCTGCAGAATTCTGAGGTTTGTAATTTAGGGAGGAGATTTAACCAGATTTAAAGTGGATTCTTTCTGTAGTGTGATGAAGCGGTTAATCACAACCTGAATTGATCTATTACTGCAAGTAGTTCTGCAAAGGTTTAAAGACTAAAAAAATTATGTGAGATTGGATTCTCCGGTAGACAGCATTTCTGAGTAGGAGTTAAGAATCCAAGTGGAAAGGTACTATATGACATTATTGAAAACATACACATTTAATGGTCAGTGCATTAAGATATAGGCAAAAACAAGAATAGAAAGCTGAATTAAAAGCATGAAGTGCTACAGTACCTGCGAGACTGATCCCCTCCCCACAGCAGAAGGATTAGTGACAGACTGAGCAGAAGACAGATTGGATGAGACAGGGTGTTTATAGTGGTTAGAAGACAATTTGTCAGTAGATAACCTATTGGTTTTTCTGTCAGCCGATGGACAGCGTGCAAAGATTTTCGGAGACGGCAAATTATCATACAGGCCCATGTTATCATAAAGCCCATCTTCTCCTGTGTTTCTGCTACGAGAAGTAGGAAAGCCATCTTCTGGTTCCCACTGAAACACACATACTTAGTAAGTTAGCATAAATGCCATGCACTTGGGAAAATAACTATATCATTAGAAAGTTAACTGGATAATTAAGATTTCTCCCCACACCACAGCCTCCATCAGCACATCTACATTTTATTCTAAAGCTTAAAAGAGTATTACTGGTTTCATTTTACAGATTTTTTAAAACCTCAATTCTTAGATTACATCTGGGAGGTCTTGGTACAATCAAACAAGATAAGTCAAAATAAGAAGTGGCTTGTCTGCATGTCCCACAGTAGTGCTATCCCTAAAGTAATTCAAGATACAGCATCCATGTTGTCTGCATTACTGAACTTACATCTTACAAAAATCTCAATGAGGCAAGCCACAAATTTGGTTTGAAGTCACAAGTGAAACGAGGTAGCTAACTTAGATCTATCCCACACGAAAGTTGGCATTTCTAGGGGCCCAGTGCAAATCATAATAGTGCTGCTCAATGAATCAGGGATTGTTTTGGATGTGAAAAAGTAGTAAGAGTGCAAACCCTTCCCTCATTTAACACGATTAACTGAGTAGGAGACTTTATGGTTCCTTAAACCACAGATTTTTTAATATACCAGAAGTAGGATTATCTCTCCAATGGCACATTTTGGCAATCCTTTTGGCCCTCTTATTTCAGTTTCATGTTTCAGAGAAAACTGGGGAGAGGGGTTGCATTCTAGTAACAATCCATTAAATTTTTAGAAAGACATTTCAGCCTTTTAGAACACCAAACAGGCAAATTGAGATGGGGGGAGGGGGATGACGACGACGGCACATGGTCCCAAAACCTGATGCATTATGTGATATATGTTTCCACCTCTGCATTATCTCATAACAGCTATAGGATCTACTCCCTTTTTGTCAATGGATTACTGGTCCAGTTCCTTTGGAGAATGATAAATAAACTGAATAAAAAACTACAAACAGAATTTGACTTGTTGCAGCAAACTAAGCAATTAAAATGTTATTCTTTTTGGGATTATTGTGTTGACATATGTAAGAGGGTATCCGGAAAACAGTCCACAACGGTGGGTGAACAAAGGACACAGAATCCTTCTGTTTCATTTTGAAGAAATCGAGCCTTTATCAAATCCTTGCTTGACCTTTCCCCAGGGAGCTGCATTAACATTTTGGCATAGACCAACCAAAAATACTGGGGAACATATATTTATGTTGTCTTGCATGTGCATGTAATCTTGAAACAATACACCTCATATATTTTAGCAATCTGTAAATAAGACACAGTCAGCAATATTTTGGAATCATGGCCAGTAATACTTTTTTAAGTGGCTTCACAGGCATTGGAGAACATAAATTATTTGACCTACACAAAAATCAATTCTTACTGATCCATTTATGCAAGGAACATCGTCATAATGAAGTGCCATTCCACTGGGACATGCGTAGCCATTGGTAGGATTTCCTCGATAAGGATTAGTAGAGAGAACCCGTCTGTTCATAAAACTAAAACAGAAACACAAAACAGTATGGCGAATCATATGTGACAAATACATGACTGATTCTAGCCTCCTCCCCTCAGAAGTCTTCCTTTCATTGGTCCCCCACTTTATATGATAGAAATACACAGCATAGTACTGCAAGCTAACATTTAAGCCAGACAGAAATTGTTTAGCAAAAAAACAATTCATAGGGTGGGAAAGATCTAGTCTAATTATTTCATGGGAGGGAATCACCAAATCAGAAGAATGTGATAGATTTTAGGAACAAGGATGCCTATTTCTTAAGAACGTTTTTATTTATTTATTATTTATTTACTATATTTATATATCACCTTTCTCAGCCTGGGGGGACGGGGGGACACTCAAGGTGGTTTACAACATGCTAATGGCAAAAACGTCAATGCCAACATACATGTAAACAGAAAAAAAATCATAATTAAACACTAACATATAACTAAGTTAAAATAATTAAAACCATTAAACACGGAACATAAACAATATTAGAAAAATTTTCAGGGAAAAATAGGTACTTTCTAAAAAGGAAGGTAATTTATTGTAGGAGGTGTCAGCAAATTGTTTTCAAATTACAGCTTGTTGATCCAAAGAGGCAACTCTGAGGAGGAGAAAACATTTTATTTCACTAGAAGACAATGGCCTTTTATTATACTTGGTGGTTCTCTCACTGGAGCCAAATGTAAGATGTTTAGATGGCTGCTTGAGAATGTCTCACCCATCTGTCTGAACCCTAAGATTTCTAGACTTTCAGTAAATGATCCCATTTAGATGTTGATGAAGAACAGAGCAAAAAGCTTTGCAGCTAGCTAACTAGGAAAAAGTAACGGAAGGGTCTAATTCATCCTGTTGCTACTGAAAGTCTTAGTGAAGTGGTTCTCAACCTGTGGGTCCCCAGGTGTTTTGGCCTACAACTCCCAGAAATCCCAGCCAGTTTACCAGCTGTTAGGATTTCTGGGAATTAAAGGCCAAAACATCTGGGGACCCCTCAGATTGAGAACCACTGTCTTAGTGTGAACTCATCGTTATGGGCCTAGTTGATACTTGTGGCCAAATAAGAAAAACAGCAGCCTTAATGCAATTATTAATATACATTTTCATCTAATTCTCCTTTGGAGAATTATGAAAGCTACTGGATATTCTGCATAAAATGTTGCTTCAAGTGAAATAGAAGGTTGTCATGATGATAAAGTGTCTATGAGGAACTCATATCCTGTGATGGATACAAAATACCAATTATGGATTCCTAATAAAAGCATACACACCGTGATTTAATAGCTAAACAGTAGGACCTATTATATTCTTGTTGTGTGCCTTCAAGTTGTTTCCAACTTATGGCAACCTTACAGTGTACCTGTATCAGGGTTTTCTTGGCAAGGTTTGTTAAGATTGAATTTGTCTCTGCCTTCCTCTGAGAGAATGTCACTTGCCCAAGATCACCCCATAGGTTTCTATGGCCAAACCAGGCTATGAATGAGTCATAGTTCAATACTCAAATTTCACCACACTGGATCTCTTACTCAGAACTAAATTCTATTGACTTCAGCTGAAATTATTCTGTAGTAATTTACTAGATGTGCTAGGTAGGCTTTCCCTACCTAGCACTGGGCACAGGGGAGTTATTGAGTTTTTAGCATGGCATCTATTAACAAAAGGATGACTGCTAAGGTTTCGTGTTACCAAGTGGAATCAATGAGAGAGTGATTAAGTTCCTCTACCAGAAGGTCTGCTTTGCAGCTTGAATGACACTTGCTGTTATGTCCACATCAATGTAGTCATAGTGCAGAGTGCCAGGATCTGCAGAGGAGCCACTTTCAGCCAGCAAAATCCCAATCCACCTGCCCATGTCTTCTGAGGATGAAGCCTGTAGAAGAGGAATAGTAAAACATGGAAAGAGTTAATCTCTTGCAAGGAAAAGGAGCACTTAATGTGGGTCCAATCATCATGCTTGTTTGTTTTTTGCTTTATCAAATTTAGTGAATTTGCCTTTCAATGAATAAAATAGGCTCTAAGGTGGTTCACACACATTGTGGAATCCAAAAATTAGAGCAACAGGAGCAAATAGAAATGCATGGCAATGAACAAACAGCAAGATAAAAGCAGCAATAAAAGCACTACAACATATTACGAATGAAGAGACTGAGGAAATAAAAAGACATCTTGCCTGGCACTAAAAAGACATCTAAGCTGACATCAAGTGAGCCTCCTGAGAGAGAGATTTCTAACAAAAGGGATGCCACAGCCAAGATGCGCCTCAGAGCGCAAGAGCTCTTGGGAAGGCCTCTCCAGGGGGCCTTACTAGAGAATAATTTCAGCTGAAGTCAGTAGACAGGGTCATCCTGGCATATGCAGTGCAACACAGGAAATAATTACACTGTAGGATCAAACAGCTAACTTAATGAGAAAAGAAACTACCTTGTTTCCTCAAATATTTTCTTCCCATGGACTTATTAATAAATGTAAATTAAAAACTAGGCAGAAATAATTAACTGAAATCACTTTGTGGCCTAAAGATGTAGGTCAAATACTTTATCCCTGTCTTGTAGAACAGGAGATGCTTTGCTTTTGAAACTCACTGAAAATAGAGGCAATGGAAAATGTTTTTCAAAACATTAGGCACTTCTAGGAAAATAACAATAAGTTGTGACTGATGCACCTAGTGCATAAATAGAACTTGAGAGTGAAAAGAGTACCATATGAGCCCCTAATACCAAAAAAATGTCAGGAGTGATTTGAGAAATGGTAAGTAGCTTCTGGTGTGAGAGAATTGGCTGTCTGCAAAGACGTCGTCCAGGGGACGCCCGGATGTTTGATGTTTTACCATCCTTGTGGGCGGCTTCTCTCATGCCCCTGCATGGCGAGCTGGAGCTCACAGAGGGAGCTCAACCTGCTCTCTCTGGATTCAAACCACTGACCTGTCAGTCAGCAGTCCTGCTAGCAAAAGGATTTAACCCACTGCGCCACCGGGGGATTTTTTTTAATACCAAAAAATGATAGTAAAGGCAAAACATGGACTCAAAACAGAAGTGGGCATTTTTAAACAATTTAAACATAGTGCTTTCTCTATAAGCAGCGAGATCCTGTTTACACTCATCTCTGTAAAAGTGAAGTGGAAAACCAATTCTTAGAAGACACATATATCATTCATCATCTGGATGATGTCTGAGGGCCAGGCCACACCCCTGGTGTCACTTGGGTCCCCTGTGCCTTGGTCAAGGGAAATGGTCCCTTTGTTCCTTTGCCTTCTCCACATGGCGGAAGAGGAGGTAAGGACATTCAGCCAATGCGTCAGAAGCCAGGTGACTTATGAGATCAGAGCTCTTCTGCAATCTCAGTTCTTTTTTTCCCCTACTATACACAGTGATGTGCACTCAGCAAATACTGCAGGAGCCCAGTGAAGGTAATGCTGTCTGAAAATTTCCATCACCTTCCCCACATGGAAGGCAAGGGAGAGGAAGGAAGGGCAGAGTAAATTGTCTAAGGTACAGCTTTAAAATTGTGGGTAAATTACCCTCCTTTCTGAGCACAATGACTTTCCTGAAGGGGATTTATCCCAAGGCCAGTCTAATTTGGTCCAAGGCCTGGAAGTTAACCCTGGGGACCCACAGCATTTTTATCCTGCTCTTTTCAGCCTGAAGGCAACTCAGGGCGGTGTACAGATTGGCAACAATTAGATGCCACAACATACATACACACATATTAAAAAACATTTAACATCACATAATAAAAATCATTTAATATCACATAATAAAAATCCATGTTATTGAAAGACACACCTCTAAGACTGCAACCTCCTGTGCATTTCGAAGCAGGCGGAAAGTCAGGGGATGCTTGGAGTCCAATCCCGGAATAACTTCACACCCGCGGAGAGGGATAGAGACAATATGTGTCTTTAGATCCGTTCTGTCTTTGTGGAAAATGAGCTTATTATCCTTCACTCTGCACCAGCGCTCACGCCAACGGTTATTTGACAGCACATTAAGGTACCCTGCAGGAACCAGACAAAACAACATATTCACTGTTTTACTTCAGATAGGTTCAAGTTGCTCATCGAAACAAGGCCTTTATGTCTGAGGAGTAAAGATATCCCCATACTAGGAAAGGAAACAGGTAAAGCAAAGAATGATACAGAAGGCAGGAGACTGAGGGGTTGGCATCAAGGAAAATGACAGGTACAGGATGAGAAGTTTCAAAACAAGGAGAAAAATGAGTCAGGGCAGGAATGCTACCAAACACAATAGTAACTTTTCACTCCCAAGTCAGAAAACTGACCTGGTAAGTTCTGGAATATAGAAAAAGTATATTAATCAGGCTAGTTAATGTAAAATCAAGCAAAACAATGGCATGGTATTTTCAACTGGCACATCAGCATGTGGAGTTATATTTTAATGCAGGTGTGGCAAAAGCATGGCCATGCAGCCATCACTGTTCTCTTTATAACCTCCTAGAACTCCCTAATTTTTTTATGGCTTATAATGTCCTTGAGCTGATTTTTGTCACAACAGCCCATCAAGGCTATTTTATATCCAGGAGAGGTCTGTCTTTCTTAGCAGTGAGTGATGGAAAGTTGATTTCCAGGACATTTCTTTTCTTTTTTTCTTTTTTTGGAAAATGAGCCTAAGGGCCCCCAGAAAGCACTCAAAATATAGAAGAGCTTTCCAAACATTTCATGTTGGTGACACACTTTTTAGAAATGCATCATTTTGTGACATAGTAATTTAGCTTTACTAGCAAACTGGAGGTTAAGTCAACTCCTTATAAGAGATACAGACACATACATAAATTGCATGTGTGACCAAAATTAAATGTATGGAGACACAACATATCTTATGGAAACCTTTCACAGTTTGGAAAGCTCTGCTTTAATGTAAAAGCAAGAACACTCAAGGCCTGAATGGAATTTCGTGGTAGGCTACAGAGTGGTGGCAGCATCACAATGTTTAAAGTTGCTATTAAATAATTCAAACCAAAATCTGAGAGCAGACTGCCTTTTGGAGAACATAACTGGTGAAGCATAGGACACAAGTTTGGCTGAGCTTTTGCTTCTATGGTCTCCTTTCTAACAACTGCTGCTGAGAATATAATGAAACCACTCACCACATGTTGGGATATCTTCTTCAGCTGATGAGGTTTGCTCATCTGTGGAGGGTTTCTTCTTTCCTAAGCCAATTATCTTTGTTATCTTCTTTCCTGTTACTTTAGACACAGTGCTTTTGGAATCTGTCTTTGAGCTTTTTTTCCTTTTTACTGTCCAAAATAATAAAAAAAAAAAAGGATGAGCATGCTAGAATCTGAGGCAGCTGTGCAACAAAAGTATTTATCTAGAGTAGGTGACAAAAGAATAGTGAAAGGCCAATATGGTTGAATAAGTAATTACCTATAGCTAAAGCACCGCATCAGCCATAAAATTCATTGGATAAGGCTGTTTCCTCATTACATCCTTTCAGTGCTGGTGAAGCATCATACTTCCACCATTAGCTAGATGCAAAATTAAAATCAGAAGATGCACTGAAACATTTTATAGAGTGCTACACTATCAACTGATTAAAAGATTGCTCTAATTTTTATTTAAAATTAAATTTTATTTAAAATTAAGTCCTCAGTACCTAAGTCCTTGGTTACCGCGTTGAGTCGCCTAAGGGCTGAGAAACTACGGTATACAAATAAAGTAAATAAATAAATGAATAAGATTATTTCTACTGCTAACTAAACCTTTTGCTGTCGGAGGTTCTGGGACCTGCATCTAAATAGGCAGAGAGAGATAAATTGGTATTTAGGTATGGGTTGCTGTGAGTTTTCTGGGCTGTATGGCCATGTTCCAGAAGCATTCTCTCCTGGCCTTTTGCCCACCTCTATGGCAGACATCCTCAGAGGTTGTGAGGTCTGTTGGAAACCAGGCAAGTGAGGTTTATTTATCTGTGGAATGTCCAGGGTGGGATAAAGAACTCTTGCCTGCTGGAGGCAAGTGTGAATGTTGCAATTGGCCACCTTGATTAGCACTGAATGGCCTTGCAGCTTCAAAACCCGACTGATTCCTGCTTGGGGGAATCCTTTGTTGGGAGGTGTTAGCTGGCCCTGATTGATTTTTGTCTGGAATTCCCCTGTTTTTGAGTGGTGTTCTTTCTTTACTGTCCTGATTTTAGAGGTTATTTTTTAAAATACTGATAGACAGATTTTTCTCATTTTTATTGTATCCTCCTTTCTGTTGAAATTGTACACAAGTTTGTGGATTTCAGTGGCTTCTCTGTGTAGTCTGACATGGAAGTTATTAGATTAGTCCAGCATTTCTGTGTTCTCAAATAATATGCTGTGTCCAGGTTTTTTTAATAATACCTATTTGGGTATTAAGAATGTTCCTTAAGAATTGTGAAGATCTTTCCATGCATTTCTTGAAAGTACATAAACACCCACAGCTCCCAACTATTTCAGGTCAAGGAGAAGATCCAGAATTCTGACAAGTGTGACAGGCACCATCATAAAAGGGATGCTGTGATGGGGATGTTTGAGTGCAAAACATTCCGTTCCCTAAAAGGCAAACTGCTAAAGCTCAAGACAGGTAACTGAACCAAGGCCTGTAGAGGAGAGCTGGGTTCTGACCAAAACCAGAAAATTACTCCCTTAAACACACAGTTCCCTACTTTTTAAGGAACATTTACACACATGCAAATGCACTTACTTACTCCTCAAGCCACAAACAAAAATTAACACAAAATTGTAACATGCTCTACACCAGTGCTGGTAAACAGCTGGTAAAATTGGCTGGGATTTCTGGTAGTTGTAGGCCAAAACACCTGGGGACCCACAGGTTGAGAACCACTGCTCTACACACTTCGGTCCATTGATAAAAATACAATCATGCACCTCATTCATCCATCACAGAAGTGTACACATACTCTTTCACCCCACCTCATCCAGCCCCCTAGTTACTTTGCCCCATTCATTTTAAACCTTTAGGTCACTCTGCACCACTTCCTCAAAGATGGATTCACCCCGCACTTTCTTTTCTCTCCCCTCTTTAAAAGAAGAAACTTCAGCAAGTTTGTAGCTATTTCCCATCTTAATTCCAATGTCCTTCAAAAGACAATGAAAAGTGTAGGATCTATTACATATCCGAACACAGAAGTGTAGTAATGAAATGTAGAGGAGCCTTGCAACTCTCCTTGTTCTCCCAGGACTTGTTCTGTTGGCCCACTTCCTCTGGTATGGCTGCCTTCTGCCCCTCTACCTGCCAGCTAGTGTCAATTCATGTTTGCTGCTAATTTTAATATGTCCCCTTTCTGAAGCTCTATTTCCATCTTTTCTACATAATCATACTGAAACCCTCCCATATCAACTCAATCTTTTCCTAGGTATTTCTGTCTCAGTACATTTTTGACTCTGCCATGTTCCTTCAGCTATCCTTTCCACACAGCTCCATCTATCCCTATAGCTAGGAATAGTTTCTATATTATGTGAAACTGAATTCTCACTTCCTTCAAAGATTAATGTCTAGGAAAATTATGTGCTTCTCTTTTCACTTTCCTAGTACTTAAGAGGACTTATGGGCATTCTGCAGTATAATTCAAACATTATTAACAACCTCTTACCCTGCTCTTTTCCATTACAGACGGCAGCTATTCCATTTTCTACAGTACCCTCTCCATCAGAACTCGGTCTTTCTGAGGACAATTTCTGCATGGAGAAAACAATTAGGTCATTATTTCAAGTGTCAAAATGTAAAAGATTTGGGATGAACCAAATGTGTCAAGCAGTCAATCTATCAATGAAGACAGCCAAGATTTCACTCTGAGGAATTGAACTTTACACACAAGTACAATTTTTTTTTTACCAAAAACTGTTGACTAACTGTTGTCACTTTTACTTCAAATTAAAACATCAAAGACTAAAATATGCTGTCTGAGATTCATATGTGGAAAGTGGGGGCTTCAGCTGCAGAAGGAGAAAGAAGGATGAGGGTACTGGTTCTTGGTTACTTAATTTATGTGTGCTTGTCTCAAGGGTCTTTGAAGCTGAGGCACAAGAGAACAAAGAATATGAAACTGACACCAGTAATCAGATCCCCGCTTATCTTGATAGCCAGTTATAGAATCAAAGAGTTGGAAGAGATCATAGATTACCATCCAACCTCAGCATAAAACCCTCCAAAGAAGGACACTCTACCACACTTCAAGGCAGCATATTCCACTGGGGAATCACACTTACCACCAGGAAGGTTTTCCTAATGTTTAGGTGGGATTTCTTTTCTTATAGCTTGAATCCATTGCTCTATGTCCTAGTTTCTAGAGCATCAAAAAAACAAGCTCTCCCCTCCTAAATGTGACAAATATTTAAACATAGCTATCATGTTCCCTGTCAGCCCCCTTTTCTCCAAGCTAAACACACCCAACTCTCTAAGCCTCATAGGGGGTGGGTTCCAAACTTTTGATTATTTTGATTTTCACCCTCCTCTGGACATGATCCAGCTTGGATTGTAGTGTCCGCAACTGGACACAGTATTCCAGGTGATGTTTGACCACAATGGAATAGAGTGGGGCTTTTACTTCCTTCAATCTGGACACTATACTCCTATGGATGCAGCCTAGAATCGCATTGGCTTTTTTAGCTGCCACATCACACTGTTGACCAATGTTCAGCTTATGATCTATTAAGACACCTAAATCCCTTTGACATGTACTGTTTTCAAGTCATGTGTCACACATCCTGTACCTGAGAATTTCATTCTTTCTGGATACATGGGCCAAATTTGAGCAGATCTGTAACCAGAAAAAAACATGGGGGGGGGGGGGGTCTTGAAATAATTTCTATTTCTATTGTCGAAGGCTTTCATGGCCGGAATCACTGGGTTGTTGTAGGTTTTTCCGGGCTATATGGCCATGTTCTAGAGGCATTTCTCCTGACGTTTCGCCTGCATCTATGGCAAGCATCCTCAGAGGTAGTGAGGTCTGTTGGAACTAGGAAAATGGGGTTTATATATCTGTGGAATGACCAGAGTGGGACAAAGGACTCTTGTCTGCTGGAGCTAGGTATGGATGTTTCTATTTGTTTAGCAAATCATGAAGAGTAGGTCCATAACACAAAATAATTTAAATTCTGTGACTCATTCTATATTTTTATAGACTTAATAAGATCAAATTTCTATTTTAGCTACAAAGTTTCAAGTCTACAAAACTGAAAATGACTTTTTAATCAGTAATTTAGTAGTTACAAAAGTATCACAATGACTGTTGGAAACACTTGAAAACCGTGGCAATACACTTTGACAGAAACTTTAATGGACACTCTGCTCACTTTACATCATTCAGGCAAGCCTCTGCTCAAATTACACAAACAAGCAGCCTCCCCTGCCCCAAAACACCACAACCTTAGTTCAACAAACTCTTCCAATAGACTCCCCCAAAAGACTCTCTGGGAAGGAGAGGTTTATCCCAAGAGATGCCAATTCACTTTGAATTGTCTCTTCCACCATACACACATGCAAACTCCTCCTTTCATATTATAATATCAGCTTCAGAACCGCACAGTCAAAACTTACATTTTACCCATGATCATTTCTGGACAAACTTATTAGGGCTCTTTAATCTCGTATTGTTAAATACAATACTATCTAAAATCTACTAGTGATGGGTTTTGTGAAGACCCTCTCAATTGCTGCATTTTCCCAGGGCTGTCTGTGTATGTGTATGTACTGATGATATTTCTACTTTGTTTGAGAATCCTCAAGGCTTTCTCTGACCCTATGCTGCTATAAAATAAAAATTAGATTCAATTGTATGCTGATCAGTTTTAATGAGTCTGATCAACTCCATTTTGACAATAGCTGATGTGACTCCATGGCCTGTATTGTTTACTGAGCTCTATCATTTGTGCTACGCTAGAAATGCTGTAACTGTAACATTATGTGCCCAGGGCCAACAATAAGAAATTGTGATTACATATAGTGCCACACCCTGATGATAACTTCTTAAACAACAAGCAACCTCTAGTTTTATTCTATCATGGTAACACAGACCTCAGATAGAGATTACCACATATGCATTCAATATTGCTCCCACGCACTATGTAACTCTAAGGTTCTATGAAATACTGATACTTGACATAAACTTTATCTATCTCTTGGATTGAAGGCAGTGCTGAGACTTGGTAGTTCTTCTGGCCAAAGTTATTGTTTGTTAGCTGTTTGCCTTCTTCCTTAGTTTCAATGTTTTATCTTGTTTTAATTATGATGTATCCTGCCTCAAGCAGCAGGGTGAGGCTGAAAATAAATAAATAAATAAATAATATATTATTATTATTATTATTATTATTATTATTATTATTATTATTATTGGGCTGATATTTTGAGTCCTAGCCAATACCAGATATTTCTGCTGTGATGTCTCATCACCATCCAAAACTCAGAATGTCTAGGACTCAGTCACACCAACTATATCCCTTTTTATACCGAGTAAGGAGGGTGTCCCACCCCCCTTATTGTAAAAACCAACCCTGTTTCTGTCCTTATTTGCTATTATAATTCCATCACCTTAGCTAATTCTCCCTTGTTTCTTGTACCTGTACTCTGAGATTCTAGACCAGAAGTTTCCAAACAGTGTTCAGTGGAGCCCTAGGGGTTCCTAAAATCATTATAGGGCTTCAATAAAAAATCTTAAAAATCAAATTTAAAATGGATTTTAAAATAAAAGTACGTGAGGCCAATTATTTGACTTACAGTCTCTGTAATAGCTATTTTGTACTACAACTATTGCTATCTGGTATGTAGTTATTGGCTTCACATCTCCACATTCTATTTGTCATCTGAACAGGAGTAAGTCATACATAGTCAATTTTTCACATTGATTCCACATTGATTTACTATTATTTTTGTATTTCTTCTACAGTTTTTGAGATGAAAGAGATCTGGGATATTATTCATAAAATATCAAAAGTAGAATTTACTGTAAAACTAGACATTATGTATAAAATTGGGAAATATACTGTATTTGAATTAGCACAAAGTGATCCAGAATATATTATCTGATTAAACAAATCAGGAATAGTTAGGGTTCCACAGAAAATGTCTTCTAAAGGTTCTATAAATGTAAAAGTTTGGGTACCACTGATCTTGAGGCCATCCACATTGCAGAATTATAGCAGATAGCCACCACTTTAACTGCCATAAATCCATCCTTTGGAATCCTGGGATCTGTAGTTTGTTGTGGTACCAGAGCTTTCGGACAGGGAGAGATAATAAAACTACACATCTCAGAATTTCACAGCCTTGAGCCATGGCAGTTCATGGCTCAATGCTATGAACTGCCATGGCTCAATGTTGCTATAATGTTGCAATATGGACACAGCCATGGCTCTGTTAGACTAGATCAGTGTTTCCCAAACTTTGGTCTTTCTGCTGTTTTGGACTTCAACTCCCAGAAGCCCCAGCAAGTTTGTCCAACAGTCAGGAATTCTGTGAGCTGAAGTCCAAAGGAAATGGAAGACCAAAGCCTAGGAAAGACTGGTCTGGACAATTCCTGGACAATAATTGAGTATCACTCCATCAGCCACCCAAGTGGACATATTTTGGAGCACTTTGTATCTTAGATTTCAGAATAAAGACTGCCAGGCCTATATTATGTGAGCAAGGATTTACAAGGAGCATGTCTGCATATGCATTAAGCCCTATGGCCAGGAACTATTCCCCCCCCCCCCTTTATGATGCGCAATGGCTGGCGGAAGGATCCAGCCCATTCCATTGAGGGAGGCTGTCTCACTGGTTTCATACTGGGCTTTTTCTACTTCCTCCATTGCCAGAGCTTTGGGCAGGATGAGGGAGACTGATTGGAGGAACAAGTAGATGAAGAAACATTAAATATATCTCCCCCAAAAGTGGAGAGAAGAACAACAGGGGAAATCTGGTGAAAGCCAAAGGAAATCATAGCTCAGATTGTGAAGCTGTCCTGAACTCAACCACCTTTGTCTCCTTTGAATCTTGGCAGTCCCATCTTAGGAGACCTGTGCAGAGAGTCATTTTGACACATGGCACAGCTTTTGAATTTATTTGGAAAGAAAAGGTTTCCAGTTCTCTCTTTTGTTTTCTGTTCTTCCTTTTTGAATATTGCACAACATAAAAGCTCTGCAATTGACATGGTTTAGTTAAAATAGGAGGTGCTGCCTTAATTTTAAGGAAATTACAGGTGCTCTTGTTTTTGTGAATAATTCTGGGGCCTTTGTTCTGGGTGGGGGTGTTGTTCTTGTTCTTTCAGATGCATTCCTTCAACCTAGATGCTTCATTACTCTAGATTTCTACTGGTTTTCTTTATGGGAATTGGGAGGGCTGGGAAAACCCTGGTATCTAGGGATTGTTTTTCATAGATCTGTGGAGGAACCCAAGAAGTTGCCATTTCAATGGACATAAGTACAGATGGGACACCTTTTTCCATATGAAGTCAGAATGTTTTTATTAGGGGGTATTTTCTTTTCTATGTTTTACATTGTTGTTGTGGCCTAACAACCTTATATTCACAGCCAGCCACAGAAGTCGGTAATTACCACTGCATTCCTCTTGCCCTATACAGAAATGTATTATTCTGTTTATTTCTATGGGATTCCTGGTTTGAGACAGGAGACAGAGTGAGGGGTTTGCAGACCATTTTTTACAGATCAAGACACGAAATTCCCAGACTGGTATATAAAAG